AAATAGAGGGTAAATTATGTAATTAGCATTAGAAATACAAATAAATAACGAAGTAATACAAGATGAAATCTTTTGGTGAAATAACATAATTTAAGGGTGTCGCCATTCAAAAACACAGTATGTCAATAATATTGCGTTTCAAAATTGTAACTCTAATTATAATTTTATTTTGGTTCTAAAACATGATATTATTGAAATATTGATATTGAATTGATCAATATATAAAATTTATGATTTATTTTTGTTTATTTTTTTATAAAGTTACTACGATATCAAATAAATATTTTTTTAGAATTGATACTTAACTTTTCAAGCATTTATTTTTATCATAAAATTAAACTAATCAAAGTTCATGATTCAAGTCGCAGGATGACTGACATCAATTAAATTTGATATTGTTTCAATATTAAAAAAAATATTATCTTAATATTTTTTTTAAATTATGTCATGTTTTTACTGACTATTAAAATTGTATTTAGACTCATTAAATTAGTTAATTCACTTTGAATCAGCTCTCATATGTTTTTATAATTTTATGTTTTTTAAAAAATTGTTTTCATAACTCTACTTAATTTTTATATAGTTATTATGATATTAAATAAATATTTTTTTTACAATTGATACACGATTTTTTAAGTATTTATTTTCATTATAAAATTAAATAAAAATAATTTAAAAAATAATAAAATTATTAAACTCATTAAAATTCATAATCCAGGTTGTAGGAACCGAGGTAAATTAAATCTGATATTACCTTAATATTTCAAAGTTGTTTTTTGAACTTATTAAATTAATTAATATGCTTTAAATCACTTATTATATAATTTAATTAAAAATTCAAACTAAATATGAGATCAAATTAAAAGATTTCAAGATTAAATCACTCAATTAAACTTAATAATATTCTATAAAAAAATCTTGATAGTCCCAATATTTTTCTTAAGTTTAAAAAGCATAATCCTACGCACGGCAGAATTTACTAGTACCCAGCTAAGACGCGTCCCCTAATTCACTGTATTCTTTCTGGTCGCCACCTCGGTGGAACTTCATCACTGTTGATTGTAACCTTCAAATCTTGAAAATTCCAACAAAACTTCCGCTCTAGCTCGCCTCACGTTAAAGGGAACTTGAAAAGGACAAACCTAGCTACCAGACCTCGACGTCGCCACTGGGTGCCTTGAGATTCAACTGCTGCAACAGCCGGCAGAGCCAGTTTCTTCGATGTAAAGGAAAATGAGAAGGTTTGATCATACACGTATAGTAGCTCATATTTGAATGTTAAAATATTAAAAGATCCTCATATGTATTAAATAGATAGGTAATTAACTTTCTTATTTTCTGTAACTCCGATTTAAGGGATATATCATGAACAGTTATTTTCAATATATTATAAAAATTTATTTGAAAATGTAGTTATAATTATTTTTTAAAATATATTTTAATCAGAAATATATTAGGATAATATATTTTTATTTTTTAAAAATTATTTTTCATATCATTGTATTAAAATAATCTAAAAATATTAATTTAAAATAAAAAATAATAATTCTTTCAAAAATATTTTTAAAATTAAAAAACGATCTGTCCTTATAATCTGACTGACGTAAAAGTCGACTAGTTTTCAGCTGTCCAGAAAAAAGCAACATGCTTTCGTAGCCAAGGCCAAGCATTCAACTTTTCCAAAATAATCTGCCATGCACGTTTCAGGAAATTTAAGAGATCGTGTAGAAGAAACTTTGTTTTTCAAAAAAACAAAAACTGACCACCTCATTCACTGTTGCTATATGTTATCATTCCACTTTAGGGCTTGTTGGCGCTTCCGAGCATAATTTTCGCAGTAAAATTATATATCGTATTGATATTTTAAATATGGCTTATTGATAGATGAGATTTTATATGCTAATTTATTAGGGTGTGATTATGTGAAATGTTGCATGAAATTAAAAAAAATAAAAATAAAAAAACACGGCAAGAATGAAATCAACTCCAAAAAAATATTTTAAGAGATTTCAGTTCAGCTAACATAAAATATTTATGTTTCAATTGAAATCTATCTATTCACTCAATATAATAGTATACATGGTGTCATAAGTAAGGTTGTCAATTTCGTTTTGTTTCGTCTAAAATGATCGAAATATTCCATATCAATTTTAAAAATAAAATGATTTTTATCTCATTTTAAATCTCGGTCTGTTCTGAATTTTTTACCTAAATTTTGATTGGAATATTTCGATTTCATTCCACATGTTTCGTTCCGCTCTTGAAAAGCTATTAAATTAAATTGAATCTTGTTCAATTTAATTATTTAAACCACCTAAGTATAAAAAGCTTTTTTTCATTACTATTTTCAATAACAATGATATTAATAATAATATTAAAAATCATTAATATTATTTTCATTAACAATGATATTAATTTTTTAAAATTAGATTTATCACTAATATATATGATTTATATCCATATTGTTTTTTTTTTCATGTTTATACTTTGTAGGAATTTGAGCAAAATAAAGGTTGATTTAGATTTCATAAATCTTGATAACACTGACCTGACTTTATATTTAAAATATTTGTGTTAAAATATTTTACTTTCATAATATTTGATATTTTATTTAAATTAAATTACTTTAAGTTAAAGCTCTATTTAATCTTAATTATTTAGAAATATTTTAAATTATATTTATTTAGTATTGTGTTTGTATTGTATAATTTATAATTAATTTATCTTAAATTTTAATTATATTTATTGAATATATATATATATAGAGAGAGAGAGAGAGAGTATAATTTCAAAATAACATGTTAAAATATTATAAAATTAAAATATTTTATTTTAATTTAAAAAATAAAATATTTATTGAAATAAAATTGACAACCTTGATAACGAGTAATATGTCATTTAAACGTGTTGAGTCAGAGAAAAGTTGCTAGACATGGTCGATTGCCCGCCACCACTGAAGTCTATAAAGATAACCCACTGCCCCTTCTATTTTGACACAGAACCTTTTGCTCCTCGTTCATCTCTCCCAGCTCCTTGTCTCTTTTTCTAATTTTTGTTTTTGCAACAAAATTAACCTCTAGAGTCAATCAATCATGCTCATCAAATACTTAAATCTCATTATTGCCCATCTCAGATGGGCATTTAATTTCTTGTGTTACTATCCGTTCAGCTTCCAAGAACACGAATTGTTTGCTGTGACTGCAATTGGTGAAGAACTAAACACGGTGATCAATGAAGCTCCTGCGGAATGTGCCGTGTGTCTAGATGACGTTGAAGAAGGCGAAGAAATCAGAGAGCTGAGATGTGGGCATATCTTTCATAGAGCATGCCTATACAGATGGCTTGACTTCCGGCAATCGACTTGCCCACTATGCCGAGGAAGTCTTGCTTTCCGGAGAACATTGATCCTTGATCAGCGCCGAACAGAAGTACTGACGTTCAAGTTCTGCTCTTTCAAATCCACCGATGAACGTGATACATGGTGGCTACGATGAATCAAGTCTTCAAGATTTTAGTACCTCGCTCAGGAGAAAGTAAAACGGAGTAATGACCTTCTCCCCACTCCTTCAGAATATATATCATGGCATGTTCGTTAACGAGTTGCTATTGAGGCAAACTTCTCAAGCACGAAGTGGTCGTTAATTCCTGAGCACGTGACAGACTAGTTAAGCTGAAGGTTCATTGTTAGTATGTGATGTCTTTTTATTCTTCCGATATTGCATAGTCAGCTAATTGACCTGAAAGGGTGAAGCCATCTCCCTCTCAGAATCTCTAATGACACTCCTGCAATGTCATGTATGTTGGCTCTTAGTCATGCTTGTAATAAACTTTTGATGTTTGATAAGTGTTGTTTTAGTTAGTTTTGGTGAATCTTTCAAAATCTCGCTAAGATTCAAGCATGATTCAGGAGAGAGTTGAATGGAAAATACGAGGTTGAGATTTTTGTCTCGTTGCTGGGGTGGATAAGTTAGTTTGTCCACTACCATAAACGAAAAATCATTATTTTTCAGTTTTCTATATTACATATTATTTATATATATTAAGATAATATTTTTTTATTTTATTTTTTAAATTCATTTTTTACATTAAAAAACATATAAAAAAATTTTAAATAATAAAAAATTGATTTTTAGTAAATCTTTATCTGGACGGCAATCCAGAGCTAAGAATCTAACTTCTAAAGCAAAGAAAAGTATGTCCATTAAAAACAAAGTTAATGTTCACTTTACAAGGCAACTGACAGAAGTTTTCTTGATCAATCGATAGATTGAACCCAAACACCCCCAGCCCAACAAAAGAGGGCCTTTATGCACCAACGAGATAGCAGCATAGTTGCATAGTAGAGACACTGTTTAGTAGACAGCACAACACCATTCTGTCTACAAATTGTAGCAGAAATTGGCATTTATGCACCAACGAGATAGCAGCATGTGATAGCGTAAATGTATTAATCTTAAGTATATTATCATTGGCCTTCTGTAGCGTGTTATCTTCTCTTGCACAATTTTTTTAAGCTATGACAAATATTCATTTCAACACTTAGTATTTTCAATATTTAAGATTCACAGGTGCCCATTTATCTCCATGATACCCTTTTCATGATTTTCCCTCTTTGATAATGCTTTAGATAAATTTTCAAATATTTCTAGTTATTATTTTAAAACTCAACCCAACCATCCAAAAACCCAAAACCTAGTTAATTTATGACTAGAATCAGCCTAGATTTATATAAAAAAAATAGAGATAGTTAAAAATAATATTTTTAAATCCGAACTAGTAATCAATCACCCAATTAAAAAATTAGTTACAACTCATTAATTATTTTTTTATTAAAACAACATCATTTTAATTTATTAAAACAATAGGATTGATTTAAATAACCCAGTTAAAAACCATGAATAGATCCATGTAGATCTTCAAACCAGGTTTAAAAACACTATTTCTACTAATTAATTTCTTTTTATTTAAACTTACCAAGTTAATTTGCTCGGTACGAACAGTTCAAGAAATTAAAGCTGCAAGTGACCATTCAAACAATGGAGAGTACAAGGAGATAATATTGAATAATTAAAAAGGATAATGCTAATTACCTCATTGAGTGGATCGGAAACACTCAAAGGTCATCATCGTCCCCGTCCTCTTCATCCTTGAAGATCACAAAATTTTGGTTAGTACTGGGGGAGGCGCAAGTGAGAGAGAAAAATACAAAACAACATGATTTAATTAAAAAAATATGACGGGTGGAAAATATAACAAAAGAACGGTAAAATCTTCATATCAATACACCTCCTTGTATGCCTTTTCCATTGCTTCGAGTTGGCCAGGCGTAGTTCTGCCGAATGATGGAGCAGCAGCAGAGCACAGCACACTAGAGTCTGCCACCACTGACTAAATTTCCTCCCAGGCGCTCCCCTGCTGCAACAGTTAACTCAAACCTTGAGAGTTCTATTCCTCGCAGCTACGGGGGCAATGACATTAAAGAAACCTGAAAAGGATGCCCCTAACTCATCATCAGCTATTGCCTGTTCTTGGAATTCGATCACAGTGTCTGCCAACAAAGCCAATATCTGCAACATACAGAGACCAGACAAGGAAGGCGCATAAATGGTTGATTATATACCCTGTCAATTATTAACAATAAAAATAAAATAGCACGCACTGAGGTTAAAGTACTATACCTAAGAAAATGAAAATAACCCAAGATGCTAATTTGTTTTTTTGTTCATTTAACTATGTAATATACCCTTTACAAATTGGTTATAGTATTTTATTTTTATTTTTCGATTTGAACAATTTTTTTTTCCCTCACATATGGGACAAATATTATGAAAGGGAGGAGAATTAAATTATTCCATGTCTTTTAAGGGTTCATCTGCTAGAAGTTAATATAGCTAAGTGATGATGTCTGGAAAAATTGCCCTTTTGGAAAGAAAAAAATTATCGGGGAGGAACTTGCTTTCTCAAAGTCTTGTATAGAACATTGCTACAAGTTGATGTGCAAAAACATTGTAAGGAACAAGCTTGCATATCTAAACATGCGCATTCAAAGCTTAATCGTAAGGATGAACCTTTATATGTCCCTGCACATTAATTTTACTCAATTCAGCATGCCTCGTGGATCACAACAGAACCAGAGCACTGGTTGTGACCTTAATTTTTTAGGCCACTTGAATCTCTCCTGGATTCAATTAGAAAGTTGGGGTTCAAAATCAATTTAGTTCATTTTGGTTATGTCATCGATAGCTCGGAAAACAAGGACAGAAACATTACAAATCGATTGCAGTCATTATGCTTTATCAAAAACAAAAAATACAAGGAAATGTTTTATAATTAGTTCATCCAGATATAAATATATTGTACATGAATTTAAATGCAAGATACATGACCCTTAGACATTCTAACCAAGTGAACTAGAATATTCAAAAGAGTACCTCAAAAAAGTAAAACCCACTGAACTCAACAGCGAGCACATATAGGAAAAATATATGCAAAAATTAATGGCTCCCATGTAGATACTGAAAACTTTCACAATACTTCCATTTATAATTTTATTCAAGCTTTCAGGTATTAAATTCTTTCCAATCCACTAATGATTTGGAAGCTTAATAAATCAAATACTTCTAAATTTGTATAAACTAAATCAGATCAGGAATGGCGTAACAGAAGATCTTCTCCATGTTAAATAGCGCAAAGGTTTGAAGTAGGAGGAAAATGGCTCCTCATTCTATAGGTTACTTTTACCCTAACCAGAGCTGATTTCAATAAACTTCAATCTGTTGTACAAATTACACAAACTAAAAGTGGGAGACAACCTGATAAATTTACAGGTGAAAAAAACTACACAGCCAGCAATATAAATCACACCCGTCATTCAAGGAAATTATAAACTGGAAGAAAGAGGAAAATGATGAAATTAGAAATTCCAAGCTATTTATCTTAATTAACAAATGAGATACTTACTGTAAGAATAGAATATAACTTAGCAAAATCCCATACAAGAAATGAGGATCCCACAATTTCGTTTTTCTTCTTAATCATAAGAATAGTTAACAAGTGTTTTATGAAATGAGGAATCTGCAATTTCTTTTTTTCTTCTTGATAATAATAATATTTAACAAGTGTTTTACGAACATGGAAATTAATAGCTCATGGCACCAAGCACTTGATTTTCCTTTAACTGTGGAATTTGGGAAAAGATGAGATTCAGACAATTAACTTAAATGGACTCATGTTACTAGTTTGAGATTCAAACAATTAGGATCAGTACTCTCTCTATTAGTCGATATTATTTCAATGAAATTTGGTAATTAAATCCAATGAATCCTGCTAAAAAGTCAAGATTCCATCAATTTATCAAATCAAATTCAACATTATAATCTAGCAAGGGCATGTACTGCACGGGAAAAATTTCAAACAGAAGGTGATTAATACAGCACAAAAGTTGTCGCTAACAAACAATGACAGAGAGGAAAGAACCAGGGAATTGAACAGCTGTGGCCAGGAGATATCATCACCCCTAACACATTTGTAAATTGAAACAAAAGCAACTAGGAAGCATACTTACCTTGCTGTTTAGTCCATTCTGACATCACATAAACAATTTCATAGCCTTCAGCTGGTATACCTATCAGCGCCTCAAAGAATTGTTCAACATGAGAAGCATTCATATGGACCTGTGTTTTAAACAAGCAGAACGTGCAAAAGTCAGTCCATGAAAAGCAAATGAAGTACCCATGAAATCTTAGCCATAGCAGCTAATAAGACAGCAGTTTGTAAATAAAAGAGGATGCAAGGCAAGTGATTGAAACCCTATGTATTAGTGAAATGATTGACATCTTTGCAAGAAATTATTTGACAATATCCTTAAGCATTGCCCTACTAGCTAGGCAAAAGAAAGTTGACATAGTTTGAGTTGATTGAAGCTGAAGCATCTAGTATTGAAGGCACATACCAATCTAGCGAAAATGAGCAACAATGAGCTTTTCAACCCCACTATTTGAGCCGATTGCATTCGTTGAACAAGAGCAGCTACCAGGTCTAGGATATGCGTTGCCATTTGCAATGGCAGGTGTAAAATAAGCTGTAAAATGTAACTCCCAACAAAAAGAGATCCAGAACTTTCCAGACCAGGGTCGACAAGCCTACAAAGCCAAGAATTTAATCAGGGTCAAGAAACAAAATTCTACATGGAATTCATGGTCAGCAAGAATCATTTTCATTGTAAAGCTCTAGATGGAGCACCATCAAGAAACCATAAAGCCACTGACGTGCAAAATTACATTTACATCATACGAAATAGAGTTCATCAAAACAGACTCCATATTTAGAGGACCAGAAAAGGTTGAAATCTGCTAAGCAGCGAGGACTCGCGGTTTAGGCAAAAAGGATCAAGAACTGAAACCCAATTTATCTGTTGTCCTATGTCAATCTGCAAAGATGATTGGCAACTCATGCTCGATATATATTTTCTAATTTTAAGATTCTTTTTTGGAAAACCCCCTAAATTTATCCCTTGTGCTTGTGTTAAAATTGCAATTCTCATGGTCCTGCTCTTTTCTTCAGTCACCTACTTAGCATGCATATATATGCACATGCACTAGCATACCCATCTTTTCTTTGAACAGGTTCCTATTTCCATTCATAGAAACCTCCCATTCTATAACCAACAAGAAAACTAAAACCACTCAAATAGTGCTTTCTCAAAATAGCAACAAAATTTGTGAACACTAACCTGAGGTGACGATACAAATGTGTGCAAGCATGGGAACAAAACCGGTACTAATGTTGGCACCAAAGTATCATCTAGATCCCCAGAGAGAAGGGCCGAACACCTTAGAGCTCCATGCACTACAAATTCCAACATCAACTATAGTCATCTTTCTCGAGTCAAGATTCAATGAACTGGTCACTTATAAAGATATCCAAACTCAAGATTCAATTTGACAAATAGAACTTGAGGATTTATTTATGTATTTAAAAATGTCTAGCTTGGAATGTACATGACAATCTCAAATTTAAAGGGGGGGAGAAAAAAACTTCACCACAACCAAACCGAACATTCCAAAGACTTACCTTCACTCATATGAGTTTGATCGTTAATCAACTTTAGCTTGGAATGTACATGACAATCTCAAATTTAAAGGGGGGGAGAAAAAAACTTCACCACAACCAAACCGAACATTCCAAAGACTTACCTTCACTCATATGAGTTTGATCGTTAATCAACTTTAGCTTGGAATGTACATGACAATCTCAAATTTAAAGGGGGGGAGAAAAAAACTTCACCACAACCAAACCGAACATTCCAAAGACTTACCTTCACTCATATGAGTTTGATCGTTAATCAACTTCAAAAGAAACGGCACTAAATCAGGCCAATTCTCAGGCTAGTCATTACAGCAATCGAAGCAGTAGCCATACTAATAGCGGTACAAATCTTCCGGTGAGAATCATCCAACGAAGGTAAAAGTAGTCTCCGTGTAACTTGCTAATGACAGAAGAGGAATAAACTAAAAATCAGGTCTCGATTTATGAATTTCAAGATTTAAAAAGAAGGAAAGGTGGTCATAATAACTACCTTCCCTTCAGTTGCGACAACAGGAGGCTCAAGCGAATCCTCGCCTTCATGCCAATGTCTCTTAATGAATTGCGTTAATAGTACCGCAGCTAGGTAATTATCAAGTTAATTATCGGAACAAATCAAATTAACAAAAAAGTTAAAATAAATCACAAAATCTAAGAGGATATCTGACACAATCCAAAAGGAAGTTCCTTATTTACAGCAACTTTTGATAATGGGCGACTCCAAAGCCTGGAGAAATAATATTCGATTAGACTCCATCGATGATATCGGAAAATATTCCGAGGAGAAGAGGGAGGGGAGTGACCCTGGTTGAAGAGAGGCTTCGGGGAAGGAACGGGTTTCCCGGTTAGGATCGAGAGTGGTATTCAGGCAATTGAGTAGCCATTGTTGATCTTGATCCATTACGTTCACCATTTTATTTTATACCTAATTCAGCCATTGAGAAATCAAAAGCCCAGTTTTCCTTTTCCCGCTCTTGAAGGAGAGTTTTTGCGGTGAGAGGCAAGAGGATATTTTTGTTTCAGGTTCATTTCATATGAATATATTGGTCGAGGTTCTTTAGGGTTTAGCTTACGAGGGCACACTGGGTTGGGCTTTTAGCCCACCACCAATTTATTTCTTGTTTTAAGCCCATCCAAATGATTCTCAAAGGAAGACGGAAAAAAATAAAAGAAGCAAAGAACAGTCATGAAACATTGCTCTCTCTGTTCATGGTGTAAAGCCACATTTCAATCGCAGAACACCAAACGTTTCTTACATGCTTCTACCTTCAGAGGCCTAGAACTCATAGCATTTCGAATAGGGGAAAGTACAGTTTTAGGTGATTTATTAGCAAATAAAAGACAGCAATTATGTCATTCCCATTTGCCCCTAATTTGAAGAGGATGCCTAAAATCAAAGGTCAGCACCACATTTCCATCCATCCTCTTCAATGCAAACCTCTCAACCAACACATAGCTACCGAATTTCCTCCACTCTCCCTTGCCATCAAACTGCTCGGTTCTCTTCACGCTCACTTGCCTGTCACCAGCCCACCCGACTCTTTCTTGTTCCCACTTCATTCTCTCCACAATTTCTAATCTCAGCCCCACATTTTTTTCTCCTACCACATCGGTAACATCCCTAAACCACATTACCCCATCAACAACAATCTTCTGGTCATGCACAGCTTCTGTCCCACCAATTTTAACCACTTGGCATTTGACAGCAACATCTACACTCACAGCATTGTCTTCATTATACGTACTTTCACAAGCAAAAATCTGCTCCCATTGTTGCTCGAGAGTCATCTCATAATAGGTTGAATTCCTCATCTGATCTTCAAGTGTTTTTCCTTCTTTGATGAACATGAAAGGACAATACCACTTCCCCACCTTCACAGTTTCAGAACAACTCTGTGACAATGGGAAGCTGAAGTCTGGAAGGCGGGCACGGAGAGCTATGTTAAGGCCTGGTGCTTCGCTCAGCTGGAACTCCTTGGGAGTTGAAGCAGCCAATTCCCAACCATCTCTCCTTAAGAATCTTGGAGGCAGCCCATCCGAAGCTACAGATTTGGCAACAAAGCTACCCCATTTTATCTGTCGAATATGAAATCGTTGATATATGCTGTTAGGATCCAAAGGCCGTGGCTCTAAACAGGATGTACGATTGGAGGAACGACTTGTTTTCACGCCCTCCTTAATCTTGCTGTTTATGTAAGCTTTCCTGATGCAGATCATGGTGAAATAATTATTTAAGTCAACTAAAACTATTTGGTTAGCATAACCAACAGCACAAATTAACAGTATAAGAGCCAATTTGGGCCAAAAGAAAAGGGAGGATAAAAAAGAAAGTGCAGATTGAGATAAGACACATACCCTTTATGCTTCCATTTCCTTTGAATAACATAGTATTGTTTGGAAGACAATGGTTGGTCAAGAACAGGATTGAATAGAACACGGGTGCATTCAGTGAAGTCCCCGTCCGGAAACAAAACCTCTAGGTCCTTGTTTTGAGGAAACGGCTGGGCTCCAATATAATCAGTACTCTTGACCAACCCAAAACAGCAAGTAGGTTCAGTTTCATCATCTTGGATCACCAATATACCAGAATTCGGACCCTCGGGAGGAGATAATGAAAGAGCTGAAGGATATCTTCGATACATTGAGAGAGGCCTTGTCACATACATGATTGCTTTTTTTTTTTTTTGTTCTTTGTGTTTCCCTTGGTGTTTTAACTAAGCATTAATTAACTTATAAATACGTATTGATTAATGAACTCATCGACTGTGGCTTGTATAACTTGATCAAGTTACATAATTGGTTCTGTAAGGTAATGATCAACCAGTTGACTTCAGTTTTCTGTGGTCAGTGCAAGCTTTTTTCTATGCAACTGGGCATAAATGGTTCCCCATGGACGTGTTTTGGGCCCTTATTTATTTCAAAAACATCAAAATTCAATCAAACAACACGTAACACAGGCATTTCCATCTGACATGCCATATGCTAGGAAATTTCCAGAAGTACTTAAATACGGAATACTTATTTGACCTAAAAAAATAAATTCAAGTGGGGGAAATAATTAGTTAATTAGAAGACCCGAGATCAGAACCTATTTGAAATCCAAAGGCATTGCCTTGAAGTTATAACAGATTGGTTTGGTTTGACGAGGAAACTACTTAACAAGTGCGGGTTTCTTCCTTAACGAATCTTACTTGACAAGTAATTAACTGTACAAGTGTTCGGATGAAAAACATTAAAAGTAGAGACAACTAAATTAAAATAAAATAACTTGAAGGTACATGTCGTAACAATCACCAGGATTCAAGCATCTGTTCTTTATTAGATTTTGCTGCTATGTGGTAAATCTATCGGTAAATATGATAATTTTTATTTTTTAACCGGTAAATAGAGAAGAGTAATTTCAAAACATCTTGGAAATCTTAAAAGCACAATAACCTAATTTTTATCTCGTGATCTTAATCAATATAGATTATTAAATTCAAAATGAATAGTGTTTTTTTTCTTTTTGAATATAAAAGGATCCAAATCCACGGTGGCATTGCCGTGAATGGATGATTTCAAAATCATTTAGTATGACTTCTCAATCCAACGCAAAATCTCTCACAGCAAAACTATCGTGGCTCGCCAATCTCCATGTGGATTACGAGTGAGATTGAAAGGTGAAATTAAATGATTTCTACGCCACATCAGCAATGAAATGGAATGCAATCATCCACGGGTCAACATCCTCGTTCTTGCAAACTTAAGAAAACCAGAGCAGAGAAACAGGCAGTGCAGATTATTTCTCTGTTAAATTGAAAGGAAAACGAGGGTTCACATAAGTGATCGTCAGGTGGTGATGTACGCAGTGGCTAAAATGGTGGAGTTGAGGAGTTCTGTTTGTCATGGAGAGATGGTGGTTCGGTGGTCTATAGGAAATACTATTTCTCCTCGCATCTCTCTTTTTCTTTTTTTTCATTATTATTGAGTTTCAATCAAACCACGAGGGCATAGCAGGTATGTTCTCTTTTTAGTTTGAACAGGCTATTTGACTTATATTTTTCCACGGAACAAATAAATCTTTCTCTGAAAAATAATAATAAATATGACAGCATTTTATACATGTTTTGTTTTTAAACATAAACAAGCTCAATTATAAATATAAAAGTTATAAGTATTTAATTAAGTAAATCATATGTGATCTAGATAAATAAGAAAATCTAATCACTAACAAATTAAATATCTTATAATCAATGAATTGATATTTTTTCTCTTCGCTACCATAATATTTTGACTTTCTCTTCCGTACATCAACCATAGATCAAAATAAATAAATAAAAATTGTAAGAAATAAAAGGATGAAAAGGGGTATATTGCAAACTAAGAGGATGAAAGTAAAAAATTTTAAACAAATTTAAAACCACTATCCATTGGTCATCTGTCTTTAATTCTACTTTTGCTTGATAAAATAAAAGTAATTAAATTTTAACTTGGTTATAGAAAAATGTGACTGATAAGACAAGCCTGATTCAACTCTGCTTTGAAGCATGAAATTCAGTCATACAGGTGCGGAACGGGTAATCAAAGTCATCTCCTGTCTGGGGTTGAGATGCACAGGTCAGTAAGATGAAGGAATGAGCCTAATTCAACTAGGGTAACAAGAATACCCCATTCAAATAGAGTCTGCACCACACGGGCATCCGTTTAAATTATTTATAGAATATAAGGATTGGATTCGTTCTGTCTTTGTTCAAATGCGTCATCTAGTTGATCGAGAAACTGTCGGCCCAAAGAGCCTAGCCAGAGGGACTGAGAAAGTCTCCAGCATAGACCGAAATGGTTAAGCGAAGCCGGTGACCGTTCAGCTAAGATACGAGATGACTAATGAATAAAGACAGAATTCCTTCGGTAAGGGAGGATCTGTTTTAGTAGGGCAGACCTTTTTCGAAAAAAGTTACACAGCACAGAAAAGACTCAGACTAAGAGAGATGAAGAAGAGGGGGAATATAAGGAATGAAACTGTGCATAGAATCAACGGTAAATATCATCTCTGTCTTGGAACTTGCCCGAAGAAGACGAATCAATCAGTCTTATTCTAATCTGTCAAGCCAGTGAAGTTCTCTGAGCTGAGGAAAGGAAATGAGCTATCTGGTTTGGAATTCGGCTTTGGCTGTATCTCCTACGGCCGCTCTCTTATCTTAAATCAGCGCGAGGGAGGAAAGGATTCTTTGTAAGTGTGCAGCTTTGGTTTCAGGAAAGGCAGGAGTAAGCCCGGAAATAAGGAATGCGATGATTCTTTGCCCAATAGATTCGTAGAATAAAGGGTAAGAGGAAAAGAATATGGAATGGTCTCTCACGGCTTTCTGCCACTTTCGAAGGCATTGTTCCTAGGGCTAAGGGGACTCGCCACTTCAAATTGAGGATTTATTAACTGAAAGGTGCTTCCTCAACCAGATACTTAGGATCTACCAATCGATTGGCTTGTAAGGAATGGGGATCGACCCAATATCCATTTACCAGATAGTCTTTCTTAGCAGCTAGTAATCTACAATGCTACACTTGAAGCTTTCAGATAGTCCTATTATCGGCTCATCTTCTATCTAAGACCTCTGGATGCCTGAAAGCTGCTGTTTTATCAGGTCTAGTTGCGGTTCGCTCTTTAACTCCTCTCCCTCTGGTCGAGCTGCTACGCTCTTTGGCAATCAGTCTTTGATTCCACGGTAGAGTCAGTGGTAGTTCCTCTTTCTACGACACCTAGGGATCACAGCCCTCAACCATGGGCATGGTAAAAAACAAATATCAATTTGTTTACAGTAATATCAGGAAAATAAGAGAATTTTTTATTCAAAAAGCGTACTTGGCAGTACCCAATATGGCGTGACTAGCCGCCTACCGTTTCGCACTCGCCTTCTATAAATATGGCTAGAAAATCATCATACCAGAGAGAGAGAAATGACATAATCAACCGGAAAAACCCCCTTTTTTGGGGGGGAAGCCGCTGTAATGCTCACCTTTTCTCACGCAACCAATCCTTCCTTCGTTGCAAATCGCTGAGCTACCGCATTATGTTTTTTCCATTGATTAAACAACACAACTAGCATTAGAGCCAATCATATAAAAATCCATATTTCCTAATACATTAAGTTCTATAAAAGATTCCATTTTAAAATAGTTTTTAAAAATAAATATTGATTGATTAATGTATAAATTAGTCTTCAAATATATTATATCATCGAGAAACACCGATAATAAGTCATGCAGTACCTGTCAAACCCAGAAATTATACACGAGTAATACTTTAATTCATGAAATTAAATAAAACAAATGCATCTATGTGCTTTACATCCATTTCAAGCGAAAGTGCTCCATGCTTTCACCTGAAGATTGTGTGTATTTGGCGAGTAATTTGATGGAAGATGTTTTTAAAATATTTTTTAATTGAAAATATATTGAAATAATTTTTTTTAAATTAATACTAGTACATCAAAACCATAAAAAACAATTAAAATATATTAATTTAATATTTTGTAAATAAAAAAAACATTAAAAAAAAATGAAACCATACAAAAAAACACACGACGAGAGGATATTCAAAAAAAAATGAAACCATACAAAAAAACACGACGAGAGATATTTACTGGTTGTAAAATACACACTAAACAGGTAAAAAATCTATAAAAGTTATGGGATTTATCAACGGGTCAACCGAAGTGACTGTTCAGAATTATTTTTATATTTTTTATTTAGAAATATATTAAAATAATATTTTTTAAAAAATTATTTTTAATATTAAAATAAAAATAAAAACGGAAATTCAACCCAAACGGGCTCTTCACCAATCACTTCAAAGCCCTGGAATTTACTACAACAACTAGTTAAGCAGGTTTTGGTCCAATGGACCGGTTTTGCATAAAATTCTAAGAGTCCAAAACGCCATAAACCGAAACAAAGACCAATTCCACATGTTAAATGGCCTGAGCCCTGAAAGCCGCGAACAAATAGAAGCGTAAAAGCCTTTCGATTTAGCATCACGGGATGAATGAATTTGTGAATTTATGGTCCAATAGCACGACATGAACCCATTGCTGTTTCTTGGCTTCCTTTCAAACTTTGTGAATTATGGTCCAATAGCACGACATGCCCCCATTATTGTTTCTTGGCTTCCTTTCAAACTTTTGTAAGAAACTCCGGTGAAAGAAAATTGTCCACTCAGCCAGCATCCATTATATCTCCTTCCTCGAGTGATCAGAGATTCAAATCTCCGTTTGCTATAAGAAAAAAACAGAAGCAGCTCGGGAATCACAGGGAAAGACCAAACTAAACCCTTGTCGTTCGTGTTGTTAAGTTATAATTATTTGGTTTTCTACCAAGACAAAAATCTTGATGACAATTTCAAGCCCCAGCTGAGTTTTTTTTTTTTTTTTTTTTTGTATTGTGGTAGATAACGAAATGAAATGCTTTCTTCTTCTCTTTTTTTATTATTTTTCTTTCAAGTATAAACTATAAAGTCATGCAAACTCATTTCTGTTAGCTACTTTTGTTTCAACTCGATCAATGCAACTACAGAATCCAGGAAGGATCCGACCACCACATACGCATAGAAAGATACCAGAGCAAAAATCAAGATTTAGTCTAATTAGTAATTAATAATTAACCTAAGGGTTTGACCACAAGGTCTTCATCTTTCTTCTTTGCACTTGGATGCTGCCTGAAAATCCATCTCCAACTCTTGAAACTTTTTCTGCTCCTCTTGATCCCTCTGTCACTCACTGTGATCCTGCAGGAACCCCCATGACTGAAAAGCCCATCTCCCGCTAAACTACCAAAATGCCCTCCATATTGATCCAGCGCCACCGCATCACCACCTCTCAGGCTCCCCAAAGCAGAGTGTGAATCTGACAAAGAGACCATCTTTACAGAAGATAAATCTGCTTTGGATTCTGATGGGAAATCAAACTTCAAGTCAATGAAGCCTGAATCATCCACTGTAGTAAAATTCCCTTCTTTAAGTGAAAATACACGTCTAGTATTTGGTCCACTGTGGCCGGGATCAAGCCTTTCAGGCTCTAAAGCAGTACCAGGAGCATCTCTCTTTTCACCATCAAAGCCACTTTTTCGTGGCTCTGCCTCACTGAACCCACTTTTTCTGTCAGGATCAAAAAGCAGACCACCATTGACACCTGAATTTCTGGCAGCTGAAATTGAACTCCTGGCAGCTGAAATGGAACTCCTAGCACCTGAAAAGGTGCCATCTTCCGAACCAAAAAACCCACCACCTCTAAAACTGCAGAGAGACCTGCACCTAGACACACCCATGTAATCAACAACCCACACATCACTTTTCTCTTCGAAACCCCCGACACTGCTCCTATCACAGCCCTTCCCTCTTTTCTTACTAAACAGCCTTCCAAACCTCCAAAACCCACTTTTCCTCTTGATCTCAACACAGCTACTGCTGCTCCTCTTGAGCATGAAATTAAGTTCATCTCCTTTCTGATCCTTACTAGAACTTTTGGGCTTAGAAGTACTATTACTAGACTGTGAGACTTGATCGTTTTTTTGTTTTTCATTTTCTATCAAGAATGAAATGCGACCAACACTGCCTACCTCAACAGTGCATGAATTACGATTGGAAGAGATCTCCGAGCAAGAGCAAGAAGAGAGCCTTTGCTCTCCACAATCTGAACATACTAGATTGACCAAACGGTCTTTCAGACAATGAGCACATATACCAACTGAAGATGATGATGGGTGTTTCTTGCATGGAAGATCTGATGAAGTACTGTAATCTTGATCAAACAAATCATTGCTGTACATCTCCACGGCTTTGCCTCTTTCTTTCATGGCTTCTGGTGAACTAGCTCCTCTTTAAATTGAACTAGCTTCAAGAACTCAAGGATTTCTGTTCTTGATGTTTCAAGAACTAGCTGGCTAGGGTGTTAAAAAGGGAGCTTAGAATTAAAGAGCTTGCTAGGGAGGGGGGAAGAGGGACAGCAGAGTGGAGGGTTCTGGTTTTTCAAGAAGCCAGGCTCGATGACATCAGAGAGTGTAAGACGAGGATTACATAGACTGATATAGAGGCGTTACCTTTACGTTTTCTTTCCACAGAAAACAGTAGACAAGTAGGAGTGATGAAAGTAACCACTTGGGTTCCTGCGGGTATGATTGTGTAGGGAAGTGAACGCACAACAAGTCGAGTAAAAGCAGTGAACTAGCAGTCTTATTTAACTCAAATTCTTTTGCTGAGATGCACTTTGGCAGCGCTACAAACACAACAACATCCTTGTACAGTGTCTTGCTTAAAAAGAAATAATAATAACGTCAGTTTATATATTTAGACAAATACATCTAATTTGATAGTCTTGGTTTTTCAGGGATTCGAAAAAGACATTCAATGTAAATATTTTGCATTTCACACTTGCATTCTACATAACACATCATCGTGTCTGTATTTACATACTGATAGAAATAATTTATAAAGAACAGTCTTCTATACACGCGTCAGATGGAGACATGGCACACGAATTCTACAGTTTGCGGGGTATGTAAATCTCACACGCACTGCGTAGAAAAGGCAAGAATTAAACACCCCTCACATCTAAGGAAAAAGGTGCTTAAATCATGTGGCGTAAATCCATCAATCGGCCATGGTGTTTTGTCAAACTTTATCAAGATCTTGCCACTCTTGAGTATTGACTTTATATGCAAAATGACATGGATTCCTTTCTCAAATCCCAATTGTTAGGTCTCTCTTTTAATTCCATTAGTGGGTTTACGAAAGGAACCCATCAAAAATGCTCATGAGGAAGAGCAAAAAAAAGTTGAAGCTTGGTGAGGTAGCCCATTAAACAGGCACAAATTGGGCATGCATTTTTATTTGTCCACTTTCTTTTGCTTAGCCATCATGATTTTACAAAGACGCCTCTAATACTATGTCATTTTCCTACCGATATCGGGCACGTGTCCAACCGACAGATCTATTGCGGGGTCCCACTTTGAGACTTAGGAGTACTGAACTTTCTAAAAAGTCGACTCTTGGGGAGAAATTGACGGTTCTGATATGGTTGGATGCACTGGCAATGATTTGATGAGAGGTATGATTATACTATTTGAGGCATGCTGTATTCAATCAAAGCCTTAAAAAAATAAAATAAGAACTAGGATGATGATGCCCTTAAAGTGTCACACAACACAGTCTATCAAGACAGAGACAGATACATGTCCTTTAAACGTGTCGTGGTGGACTTTGCAAAGTCTTCTTTCTGTCCTTCGTTTACAGGAAACAGGGAACCTTTTTGCGCTTCTCGCCATAGCTTCAAGTCATTGATGTTTTCCCATTTTGTTACTAAAAAAATGTAGAAGTACTCATATTCCAGTAACTCTTCCTGTGATGAATGAGCAAACTTGTACGTAGAAGTTAGTGTTCTATTTGAATTTAGTGGTGATGGCATGGCGATCACTTGCCAAGTGATTGTAGAAAATTTCCCTTTCTGGTGTGCAAGAGGCTCCCTCGTGTCTAAACTATCTGGATCACAGCAGCATAAGCAGCAGTCCACGTTCCAACGGTGTGTTTCCGTGCTTTTATAAAAATTTGAGATTTTATTTTATCGTTTTAATATGTTTACATTAAAAATATATATATATATATATATATATTTTCAAAATATTTTAATAAATTTTTTAAAAAAAATATTGAGAAAAACAACTCTCACTGCAAGGCTCGCATGCTCTTTTTTCTTGCAACTGACAATCACAATCCATACCCCCACTAACTCATTTCATAGCCATAAAAGAAAATTTCTTATGATAAAAATATAATATATTTTTTATTTTCAAGAGTGTTTTACAATTTTTCATTATATACTAAGATGGGATGTACAGATTTTGGTCTTGATAACCGTGACGCTCAATTGTTCGAAATTAAAGGATTGTGATGCAGTAACAAATCAATTAATGGGCAAAGGAGCAGAGCTAATAGAGGAAACCACAGTCTACAAACTATTTTGATATAATTTGTTTTTATGTTTTGTTGTTTCATTGTGATTAGTTTTTAAAATATTTTTTATTTAAAAATATAATAAAAATAATATTTTTAATTTTTTAAAATTTATTTTTAATATTAACATATTAAAACAATTAAAAAATATAAAATAATTTAATTTTAAACCAAAAAAATAATTTTTTTAACAAACAACACATTCCCGAACGTTACCTGTACAATATTTTTAAGAGTCAATCAGTGGCATTCAAATGTGCTCAACTTTAGGGGGTTTTTTTATCATTTTTTTTCATGCCTCGATACTTATTTACCTGCAATGAAAAGTAGAGTGACATCATAAAAGCAGGCACTGTGGACTCTGATTTTTCTTCTCTCTCCCTCTTTCCGTTCGATGAAGCTTGCTTTAATTTGAACAAACTGAGCAAGCTGAACTATTCACGCTGTTCTCGACAAGTTCATACGATAATTTTCTTTATTTGAGATTGTTGTATGATCTGGTGGTTAGCAGAAAAGGGATATAACTATACAGGAGACGAGCACCGCAAGGAAATGCTTGTTGCTATACATGTATTGTTTTGTTAGAGAGTTCATTGTTTAATTCAATGCCAAAGTAGATTGAAAATTTGAACGAAGTTGTTTCGGTAGCTGCTAAACCAGATAAAAGATATTCTGAAAGCCGTCAAGATTCAAGAAGGATTAAGGCAGTGTTGTGCAGATTTATAGGAAAGAAATAAAATGACCCAGAACAAAGGTACCAAGATAACAGGTACAAGGCATGTCTTCTCCGAGCCATAATGTTAAGGAATGCACGTCCCACGCATGCCCAATCCCAATGCATCATTGGGACAAATAAACAATCGTTTTTAAGGGATGTTTTTTGTCTATTCAATCGATACTAAGATGCTCATAATCATGATGATGACGATGTCTTGGTTTATTGTTTTTGGTCCTAATTGTCTTTGTCTATCAGGGATACTGTTGTTTTCTAATTCATGATTATAAGATGCCCAAGTATAATAAGGTTTTCCTACTCTCAACTTAACTCACTGACCAAGCAACATTTCTTTTTGTCTTTTGAATGGATTTCATGATTGAGCACAATTTATTAGCAACATATTTGCTGTCCAACACATATGTTTAGGGACCCATCAAACCTCAAACAGCGAAGTAACCTTTCTCGCTCCCGAAGGTGCATTGAATGAAGCGAGTTCGGACTGGACTAGAGTGGAGGTATAATTATTATTGTTTATTTTTTGGTGTATATCAGATATTGTCTCCTGCAAATAAATATAGTAAATACATTTTTTTAATAAAATATATTGATCCAGTTCTTTTATATTGTGTAAAAAACTACTAATCTCATTCTCTTAAGATTTTTGGTTGTTGAATTTATTGTTAAGACAGGTCGTTATTTTTTATATAATTTAACTTTCTCATTTATTAGTTAAAGTAAACTTATTTAATTTTAAGAACAATGAATGCATTTTATGTATTTGCTTTATTCGATCAGTTTCATAAATAATGCCATTGATTGTTATTACCATCAAAGGACTGTGTTATATTATATTTTATTGATTAGTTTTGTAAAAAACAACATCCGGTAGTTTCAAGTCATGAAAGATAATTAACCATATAGGTGGTGGCTAAATGATAAGGACTTGGAATTAAGAGATTTGTTCTCTTTGTGATCTCAGGTTCGAGTTCTTGGTTACTCATATGATAGCCACTGGAGACTTACATGGTCGTTAACTTCAGGACCCGTGGAATTAGTCGTAGTGCGCGCAAACTGGCCCGGACACCCACGTTAATCTAAAAAAAAAAATATTGATTAGTTTTGTAAAAAACAACATCTGGTAGTTTCAAGTCATGAAAGATAATGGTAGTGGTCAAGTGGTAAAGACTTGGGATCAAGGGGTTTGCTTCCTTTGTGGTCTCAGGGTCGAGTCTTTGGTTGCTTATATGATGGCCACTGGAGGCTTACATGGTCGTTAACTTCAGGGCCTGTGGGATTAGTCGTGGTGCGCGCAAGCTGGCCCGGACACCCACGTTAATCTAAAAAAAAAGTCATGAAAGATAATTGGCCCGGTTTTATTTATTTCGAAAAATCAATGATTATTTCAGTTTTTATTTAATTTTATTTGACCATTTTCACAAACATCACATGAAACAACAGAGGTCGGGTCAAAAGGAGTGAAGGGCATTTTTAGACTGGAAGGTTGAGGGATACGTCGACAGTTTTACCAGTGGAATGGAACAAACACACCCCATTTGCTATGGATAAAAATTAAATCTTGGCGATCTATTGATCCACTTTCCCTCGTACTCTATCATATTCTCTTATCTCGTACTATCCTATACTGTTCTACGTATCAAATAAATAGTAAATTAATAATCTCCTATACTGTTCTACGTATCAAATAAATCGTAAATTAATGCACTAAAACCAATCGACTTGTATGACTAAAGAAAAGTTATAGCCGCCCGCTGCCCTGCTGTTCCTGGCATTCTAGCGGTCATTAATTTCAGGACCCGTGGAATTAATCATATGTGTACAAGCTGATTCGGACACCCATGTTAATCTAAAAAAAATAAATAGTAAATTAATGTACTAAAACTAATCGACTTGTATCACTAAAGAAAAGTTATAGCCGCCCGCTGCCCTGCTGTTCCTGGCATTCTAGCTCACAAAGCAAAATAATTGCAATAATAATATATAGTAGTAGTTATAAACTCGATGCCGACATTGAGAAAAACAAGATACTTAGGATCGTTCCAGGTTATCTTTTTGTTTTTTCAAACTTGTTAATGTTCGATGTCTAAGAAAAAATAAAAAATGCTCTCGGCCTCATATTTTTTTTTAATTATTCTTGAAACTATATATCCATATTTTACCTGAAAAAATCAGCTCAAAATATCAAAACTTGATTCTTTTGGGTTTTGAATTAACAATGATAATAAAATCAGATAGAGGACAGAATTTATCTAAAATAAATATTACAGTCCTAATAGATTAGAGGCAGAAAATGTCATCAAATAATAATAATAATAATAAATTATTAGATTGGTGGAACTCGTGATTTTAAATCTCATAGTATTTATTGTATTTGTTTTAATGAAACAACATTGCAGAAAGGGTTCAGCATTTTGTACCGGGGACTTAAACCGTTAACAAAACAATTAAATGATGCGAGGTGGGTTTAACTACTCATTTGAGTTATGAATCCGTTTAATGTATATTTTTTTAATTAATTTATGATATTTGATTTAAGTGAATATTTCATCATCAACGTTACTGCCGTTAAGTGTATTTTTTTAATTAATTTATACTAGATTTATAGCAATATTTGATTTTAAGTGATAGACATCCTCTAATCCCTTTGTTTTTCCCAAAAAAATGGCTAAACAAGACAGGTCGTTTGCTTCATGTAAAAACATAAAAATACCGGCCAAGTCATGCAGGGAATCCCCAAACCCACGCGTCTCGACTTTTTCTTGGCCTTGTTGGTTTTTATAGCTTCTTCGTTCTTTGTTTTTTAACTTTTTTTATTAATTATATTTTTTATATTGTTTTTTTATTGAATTTTATTATTTAGTGTTAAATTTATTGTAAATTGTTTTTCATGTTTTTATTATATAATAAAATAAAAAATAATAATTTAACATAGTTAGGTTTATAATTTGAGTTGCAAATTTGAAAAGTTAATTAATATAAATTTAAACTATTTATTTTCTTTTAGATTTTTGTTTTAATCTCTCAAGCCGAGGAAGCCTTTGTGACACAAAACCATTTGCTCTCCGTTCATCTCTCCCAACTCCTTGTCTCTTTTTCTAATTTTTGTTTCTGCAACAAAATTAACCTCTAAACTCAATCAATCATGTTCATCAAATACTTAAATCTCATTAGTGCCCATCTCAGATGGGCATTTAAATTCTGGTGTTACTATCCGTTCAGCTTCCAAGAACACGAATTGTTTGCTGTGACTGCAATTGGTGAAGAACTAAACACGGTGATCAATGAAGCTCCTGCGGAATGTGCCGTGTGTCTAGATGACGTTGAAGAAGGCGAAGAAATCAGAGAGCTGAGATGTGGGCATATCTTTCATAGAGCATGCTTATACAGATGGCTTGACTTCCGGCCATCGACTTGCCCACTTTGCCGAGGAAGTCTTGCTCACCGGAGAACATTGATCCTTGATCAGCACCGAACAGAAGTAGTGAAGTTCAAGTTCTGTTCTTTCACATCCACCGATGAACGTGCGACATGGTCGCTACGATGAATCAAGTCTTCAAGATTTTAGTACCTCGCTCAGGAGAAAGTACAGCGGAGTAACTACCTTCTCCCTCCTCCTTCAGAATATCTTGGCATGTTCGTTAACGAGTTGCTATTGATGCAAACTTCTCAAGCATGAAGTGATCGTAAATTCCTGAGCATGGGACAGACTAATTAAGCTGAAGGTTCATTGTTAGTGTATAATGTTGTCTCTTAGCCATACTTGTAATAAACTTGATTTTTGGTCAGTGTTGTTTTAGATAATTTTGGTGAATCTTTCAAGTCTAGCTAAAATCCAAGCATAACACAGAAGAGAGTTGAATGGAAAGACAAGGCTTCATTTTTGCCATGTCTAAACAAAAACATACCTTTGTTTTTCAAAAAAAAAAAAAAAACGACCACCTCATTCACTGTTGCTACATGTTATCACCTCACTTTAGGGCTTGTTGGAGCTTCCGAGCATAACGAATTGAAGCCGGGGACGAACCAAGGTAGCTTCCCTGGAAAAATAACAACGATGCGATTCAGTCATTGATATAAAAAAGAGAGGAATAAAGTTTATCATGTTTTTTACTAATATTCATGCTGCCTTGAAACATGTTAAGTTGATTGGTCATAATAAAATAATTTTAGTGTAATTTAATTTTAAATACAAGCTATAATAAAAGGTCAGAATGAAAGATTTTAAAATTAAACGTTATACCAAATTTAATAATAATACTAACCTAATTTTTTTTCTAATATTTAGATTTTTTTTTAATTTAAGTGTGTTTAACATTGTAGTTAAAATATTATTTATCAAAAATTTAATGTAGTTAAAATATTATTTATCAAAAATTAAAATTTTTCTTTTAAATTAAGTTTTTTAGTGTTTTTTTATCATTTTAATGAGTTAATATCAAAAATAATTTTTTAAAAAAATATTATTTTAATATATTTATAAAAAAATACTTTAAAATATAATTTTATATTCCATGACAAAACGAGTATAGAATCAGCCGAAATTCTCAGCATTTGATTTTACTGTTAGTGTCATTCACGTTTATATAAACGGAAATGGGCATTGGATATTTGGCGTCACACGTGCTTAATTGGTTGGAATATAATATTGTAAGAGGATTTATTAATTTTTATCTAAAAAATATTTTTCTAACAAATCATCTAAGCTGCTCCTCCCCAGCACGTTAAATTTCACTACCAGCGGATTTGACGACGACAGATCAGTCGTGTCAAGTAACCAGTATACAGTGCCATTGTAGTCATTTACTCAGACGGTGTTTGTTTCAGGGCATAAGATGAAAGGATTAATGCTAGCAGCAGCTCCAATCTCTCTCTATGAGCTTTATCTTATATATCGACCTGTAATGTTCTTTAGTGCGCTTGTCAACCATTGTTGGAACGATATAAATGAACATTGTGTTATAAATTATTTTTATTGGTTTTTAATATACATTAAAAAAACACAATTTATTTTTTTATAAATGTAAAGTATATATAGGGTTTTTGATCTAATATTTATATAATAAACTTTAATATAATATAGTAACTAACAAAAAAAACAATAATAGATATATAAAATTAAGCTGAGCGAGCAAAATACCTCTAATTACCCCTTGGAAATGAAGTACTGGATTTATTTTCTGAACTTTTTTTCTCTAACACTAATTTATTTTTGACTTACTTAATCTCTCAAGTCCTCTACGTGCGAAAATTATTTTTATCCTCTTTTTGACTTACTTAATCTCTCAAGTCCTACGTGTGAAAATTATTTTTATCACGGCCCTACAAGTTGCTTAATTCATCACCTTAATTTGAGTCGATTCTTGGTAATTAGTGGTAATCTTTTTTAAAAGAGTTGCAATAATTATTTTTTGGAATTTGAAAAACCATAGCAGAGGGTACAAGCTGTGCCAAAATAACGCAATGCAGGGGGGAAAAGAAACTCGAAGACAGTAGCGTATCATACTGCTATGGTTTTCGCTTCTGTAAAGCATTCTAATAGATTCGTGAAAACTGTCTTCACCACTACCAAAACTTCAGCATAAAACAATGATGATACCTATTAAAAGCACATGAGACTGCAAGGTCTCAACCATCAAGGTGGCGTTAACCAGGCACAGGATTCAACAATTATACGCTTCACTAATGTGGCAACAACCTACATTGCCCGTGTGTTCATCCAAAAAGATACCCAACATCTATAGCCCAGGCATCCATCATAAATTTCAATACACAACGGTGCTTAAAAAAAGCGTGCACTCCCCAAATCGCCTGACTCTATTGTCACATTAATGAAATACTTTGTAACAGAGGTTGAACCAGACCCAGTGCCACTAGATCCAGTAACAGAGGTTGAAATACTCATCAATGAATGTTGAACCAAATATGACATTCCAAATTGTTTGCCCCGCTGCGCCAGAATTGCCAGCTGAAAAAATTTCATAATGTAAAATGAAATCACTAAACCATAAAATACAAGATAGAACCATTATCAAACCGTATTGGATTCACTCCAAAAATCTGGGTACAGTAAACAACAATCAGAACATGAGTAAGGAAGGACATACCGAAAATCAGAACAGTTGTTTTCAAGCTTTCTTCCTAGTTATCCTGTAAATTAAGAATGAAGGCAGTTAGCAACCAAGATCCTGTTTGCAGGAATATCCTAGCAATAAGCACATTTAAGAGTCAATTTTGTTCTAAAAGCAACCAAATACCAAGATCACAATCAGATTGATCCACCGATGCTACAAGCAGATCACAATCAGATTGATCCATGACTACTTAAGCACGCTCATTAGACTTAGGAGAATCAAATGCCAATATCACCCATTATACTAAACCTTGAAACAGACATGATTTGACCGCATGTAATTGAAAAAACAGAACAGATGTCTCTAGCCTGATTGTGCAAAATATCTTTGCTTAACATATTTTAATCTGGCTTAGCTCACATAATTTAAATTGGTTTGGTTTTTTGATAGCAGCCTTTGGTATTGTTCAGATTTGAATTCAAGAGATCAGATCTACTTGGTTTTCAGTTAGGTCTCATGAGCTTTCAGCGTGGTTGGGTTATGCTGAAACCTTTACTTTTTTTATCTGAATTTTCCTCTAAAACTGAACTGAACCAAATAAAATCATGAACAATCCTTTGTACATCCAGATTCTCACCTGAAGCAGCATATTCCCAGAGCTGTTGTAATTTCATGGATGACAGATGTGGTGAAGTGCAAATAGAGTAGCACTGTGTTCAGAAAAAGAATTGGAAGACATTAAATAAAACTCTAACACATGGTAAGAGCAATAGGAATTATTACACGAGCTCAAAACCAAGAAATGCAAAATCAGAAAACAAAACATCGATTAACATGTACGGAACAGTTTCTAGTGTAAAACAAGTAAGAACATGTCAACAATATAGGTGAATTAACAAAGCGAGGTAACCAGAACATACTTGTGAATACACAGTAACCAAGAAGAACCCAGAACTCATCCACTAAAGCAACTCTGCAATAAAAGTTTCTCATAAAATTAACACCACAATAAAAAATATATCAAATCAAATTCTCGTTGTTTAAAATCAGAATAAAAAACAACACTACCAGTTACCACTTACCCATCATTCAGTCTGGCTGCCAGTGCATTTGCAATGGCAAATGGTAGATATAAAAGAGACTGCAGGAAGAAAACATGAAACTTAGTTGTTCAGCACTAGGTTGATAATTAAGTTCACATGTAATAATATAAATCTCACAAGGATAAAGTTGAGAACTGAAAAGGGAAGAAACAGAAACTTCTGTGGGAAAGGAAATTCAACAACCAGTTTGATACTGGAGAACACCAAACACTCCTCCCACAAGTATTCCTTCCAGAAACATAAATATGAATTCTTCAAGGAGAACAAGTGTGCATTTTTTTCATTAGTAGGAGTAAATTAACTCCCAACAAATGAGCTGTTGGTGTATCTCACAAGTCAGTGAAACAACTCAGATAAGGCAGAAACATTTGTTGGATTTCAGTGAATCATTTAAAAATTTGATATACAAGAGATCAAAATATTTCTGCAACCTGGCGATATACAGCAAATCACAAAATACACTTTCTCTACCAAAGCATAAGAATAAACTTTAAGACTACATATGATTTCAATTGTAAAGAACAGAACAAATCATACCAAGCACATGTTGGTTTTCAATCCCTTTGGTTCATCACACAGGTGAGACAAAATCATCCTTCCCTGTCAAATGAAACTTCCTCTCAGAAATGGTGCAGTACAGGTCAATTGTCAGCAGCACTTGTATAATTTAGAAAGATATTTAAAACTTCTACCACAGCAGCACACTCAAAAGAATACAATTAGATCCCAGCTCCCCAACACCCACTGTAAACACATCATGAAGATATACAAAACTGTTATTTGCACGTGGTTTTCCAATGCGATTTCAGCCAGTGGTAAGAAGCTGTCATGATAACATATGCTAACTGTGGACTTGAATGAATCTAATTCCTTTTGGGATCTACAAAATGATTTCTTTTCCTTTTCTCTCTTTTTTTTTGCCAGAATTCAAGGGCTGCCAATTTGCAGCACCACCATGTGACAAACTTCTATCAGTGTTCCTAGAAATATCATGGTAAAATTTCAAACTTTGTAAGATCCCTAATAATGTGCTAAATCCACTTCAAAAGTGCACATAAAAGCCATGAATGGAAGGTAGTGCATCTGCATGGTCAATGGTGAAACTAATTGGCACTATGTTCAAAAAATTAGCGACCATGTATGACTGCATTTTGCAACAGTGTCCCACCAACACTTGAGTGTGCTTTCAGACACAAGGTTTTGAAATCACATATTCAGAAATCATTTTGTAAATGAAAGTTTAAATTGGAATAAATCCCTGTCAATAACATAGTCAATCTATTTGGAACCAGCATCACCGATTTGATACAAAGGCCTGCAACTGGCAAACTTTCAGCCAACCACAGGCTCCTAGTACAACTCAATCAACCATCTCCTTAGCACA